CTAGCCTTGAGCTGAAGAGCTGAGAGACAGTGCCCAGGCCCAGAGTTCAGGCACCATGACTGGCAAAAAAAAAAAGAGGAATAGAGCTATGGTTCAAGTGATAGAACACTAGCTTTGAGCAAAAAAGGTCAGAGACAGTACCCAGGCCCTGAGCTCAAGCCTCATTACTGGCACAAAAAATAAAAATAAATTTCAAAATAGGGATCCTCTTTTGAGTAAAAAGATTTTTCTAGAATTTTTTTAATAAACAAGAGCTATAACATTCTATTGCATAAAAGTAACGATTAATGTAATATGTTATTTAGTCACTTAAAAGTTATTATTGCTGGGTGCCAGTGACTTATTCATACCTGTAATCCTAACTACTCAGGAGGCTGAAATCTGAGGATTGCAGTTTGAAGCCAGCCTGGGCAGCAAAGTCTATAAGACTTATCTCCAATCTCCAATAAACTACTCAGAAAAAGCCAGAAGTAAGACAGAATGCTAGCTTTGAGCAAAAGAAGATCAGGGACAGTACCCAGGACCTTAGTTCAAGCCCCAAGACTGGCCAAAAAAAAAAGTTACTATTGTCAACTAAAGAAAAAGTGTTTAGAAAGTGCTGGTAGATCCATGTAATTGTAACCCCTCTGTATGGTATTTTTACAATTAAAAAGAAAGAAAAAAAGGAAAAGGAAAAAAAGAAAGTGCTGGTAGAGCAATGTACTAGTGGCTTATATCTATTATTCTAGCTACTTGGGACACTGAGATCTGAAATATCAAGGTATACACTCAAGACCCCTTTGCAACACACACATGGGCTTTGGTGCCAAATACTATGTAGGAGACTAAGATTGGGAGGATCATAATTGCAGGGCAGTCTGGGCAGAAAAGAAAGGCCATGAGACTCTGTATCAACTTAAAAGGCAGGGCATGGTTAGGTGCTAGCTGCTCACACTTGTAATCCTAGTTACTTAGAAGGCTGAGGTCTAAGCATTGCATTTCAAGCCAGCCCAGGCAGCAACATCCATGACACTCATCTCCATTAATCACCAAAAAAAACAATAGTGGAGCTATAACTCAAGTAGTAGAGTGTTAGCTTTGAGCCCGAAAGCTCAAGGATAGGACCCAGGCCCTAAGTTCAAGCCCCAGGACTAGCACCAAAAGAAGAAGAAGAAAAAAAAAAAAGAACAGTGGTCCAGGAATATGCATGGGCAGGAAGTACATCCTATTATTAAAAAAAAAAAAGCAAGGGGGGGAGGGCGCACTAGAAAAACAGAGGTGAGGCTGATTGGGATATATTTACATGTGTGAAAAATGTCAAGGGGAAATGAACACCCCACCCCACCCCCTCAAATTAATATATGCTAGTAAGAATTTTAAAAATTCAGGATTGAAAGTATGGCTCAGGGATAAAGCACATGCCTAGCAAGCACAAGGCTGCAAGTTCAAACTTCTTCCCCTTTGGGGGAAAAATGCTGGTGTAATACACAAATGGAAAATGACAAAAAGACTAAAAGAAGTGCTAACATGGTGGTACGGGTCAGTAATCCTAGCACTTGGGAGGCAGAGGTAAGAGGATATTGAGGCCATCCTGGGCTTTGTAGTAAGACCCTATCTCAAAATTTATAAAAGTTAATCAGGTTCACAAGAGCCTCCTATGGCTCACAGGGATCATAAAGCAGGGTGGAAAATTTCAAACCTCCATTCTTTTAGGTGCTTCTTCAGTGCAAAGTGATAGAAATGACTTCCACGGGTGAGCATTGGCCACAGCAGTGTTAGAATTTTTTTAAAAAGGCAGTTGATACTATTCAGACCACCCAGAAGGAACACATAATACTCACTGTGTCCCTTGAGGACCCTCTGTTCCTCTTTTGATTCTAACTTTCCCTGCAATAGGTTGTAGAAATAAAAGTTAGAGTGAAAAATAACAGGATATAAAAACCAGCAATGTTTAATTAACACTGGTGGCTTTAATTTAAAATTAAATTTTAAATCATGACAATTTTCATGGAAGTATATCCAGACAGTAAACAGTCTTAAATAGACCTGTGAAGATCTATTTAACCAGTTTGGGAAGCCAGTTTAAACACTTCTCTCTTACCTATTAATCAATTGTTTTGTGAGCTTTGTTTTTTAAGACTGACTGTCAAATGTGAGCCCAGGCTGGCCTCATGCTCAAGTTCCTACTACCTCTGTCTCCAGGATGCAGACTGGGATCACAGTCTTGTGGTACCATGGCCAGCTTTCTCACCATTATCTTTACAGGAAAGAATCAGGGTGGGAAATCACAATGAACATCAAACTTACAATTTTTGTAGCAAGGTTGCCTGAAGGGTTTTCCTTTTGAAAAGGCAATTGCCACTATGAGGTACTGAAAACTGGAGATAAAAAACACTGTGGTATTTTCATAATTCTGTATATTATGTGTATCAAGTTCAGTTTCATTCTCTAAGTGTGAAGAATTCTGAAATAGGCTTCTTGTTGTATTACAAGCGCTAGAATACACAAAAAACATTTTTTTCATTAGTAAATATAATACCCACTTCCCAGAAGAAATCAATTTTACCTTAGATGCTTTGAATAGTATGGCAACTAACAGAAGCAAATTGCTGTTTATATATTGCAAAAAGGCCAAAAGGAAGGAAAATAAATATTTTCTATTTAGCCAGATATGGCAATCAGTTAAAAAAAAATAGAAATAGCAGGGTGCCAGTGGCTCATGCCTGTAATCCCAGCTATTTAGGAGGCTAAGATCTGAGGGTCATTGGAAGCCAACCCAGCCAGGTAAGTCCATGAGACTCTTATCTCCAATTAAACCGCCAGGAAGCCTAAAAGGGAGCTGTGGCAAGTGGCAGAGCATTAGCCTTGAGCAAAAAAGCTCAAGAACAGTGTACTGGCCTTGAGTTCAAGCCTGAGGCCTAGCTCACATACATACAAAACACACACACACACACACACACACTTAGAACTAAGTATAAAATATGTAATAAACCCCTTTTTTCGAACAGTGGAAGTAATTTGAGTAAAGGTAAATAGACCTACTACTTTTTTTTTTTTTTGGTCCAGTCATGGAGCCTGAACTCTGGGCCTGGGCTCTGTCCCTCAGCTCTTCAGCTAGCGCTCTACCACTTCAGCCACAGCGCTACTTCCGACTTTTTTCTTTTTGCTTATGTTGTGCTGAGGAATCGAACCCAGGACCTCATGCATGCAAGGCAAGCACTCTACCACTGAGCCACCTTCCCAGCCCCCCCCCTTTTTTTAAATAGGTCCTGAAGCTTGAACTCTGGGCCTGGGTGCTGTCTTTCAGCTCTTCAGCTCAAGGCAAGTGCTCTACCACTTGAACCACAGCACCACTTCCAGTTTTCTGGTGGTTAATTGGAGATTAGAGTCTCACAGACTTTCCTGCTGGGGCTGGCTTTGAACTGTAGTGGGTTATCTCCAAAGTCTATCTGTAATAAAAGACATTTTTCCTCAAGTTTTTCATCATGGATGTCCTAGCAATGCCTAAAGTCACAGCCAGCAAAAAGACCATCCTTATCCACGCACCAAAACCATGGGCTAAAAAATAGAACAATTTTTTTTTAATTTAGTCTATGGCATGATGTTAATAACAACAAAAAACAGGCTAAGACATTCTCCTATACCTAGAAATTACCATAATATAGAGGCAAATGTAAGTAAATTTAGTCAAGCTGTTGGAAGTGGCGCTGTGAGTGGTAGAGCACTCGCCTTGAGCTGAAGAGCCCAGGGACAGCACCCAAGCCCAGAGTTCAAGCCCCACAACAGACAAAAAAAAAAAAAATTGGGGGGGCTGGGAAGGTGGCTCAGTGGTAGAGCGCTTGCCTTACATGCATGAGACCTTGGGTTCGATTCCTCAAGCACCACATAAGCAGAAAAAAAAAAAAAGCTGGAAGTGGTGCTGTGGCTCAAGTGGTAGAATGCTAGCCTTGAGGTGAAGAACTAACGGACAGTGCCCAGGCCCAAGAGTTCAGGCCCACGATTGGACCCCCCCCCAAAAGAAAAAATTACTCGAGCTGCAACTTTTTTTTACATTTTTAGACTCACCTTTAAATATACACATTATACACATTTTCCATTTTTTTTTACATGACTTGACAAACTTACTCTAAAGATGGATACCACGGCTGCTGCTTGACCCAAAAAAATCCCAGAGATTGAAATCCAATGCAGATGACAATCTGAGACAAAACGGAGAAGAGTAGTGCCCCAGATATAAGACCTGAAGGCGGTCTTTGTGCCACAAGTTCCTTCCATGCAGGATTTAAACTCACTATATTGAAAAGAAAAAGATGGAAATTTTATGTCTAAGCTATTTAACTATATATAAGACATAAAAAATTCATTTGAAAAACAGATAAAATATCTTTTTAATACAAATTTTTAAAAGCTAAGTCAGATGCCACACTTATTTAGTAAATGAAATGTAAACAAATTTAGGCCTTTCAAAAATGATTCAAGAATTTTTACATTATCTATTGAGGAAACTTTAGGACAAAGAGAATACTAAATATAAGACAGGCACAGTGGTACAGACATAGAATTCCAGCATTCAGAATGCTGAAGTAGGAGATTAACAAATCTGAGGACAATCTGGCTAAACAGTGAAACCAATCTCAAAGGAAAGGGGAAAGGAAGGGAAACGGACATTAATAGATTAACAAAAGGGGAGGATTGGTTAGGGGTGATGGGGGAATGTGAAGGGATTGGAAGGGGAAACAAAGGAGAGGCAACAATGCTTTATAAGAAATGTACTCATTATCTTGCCAATGTAATTGTAACCCCCTCTGTACGGTATTTTCACAACTGAAAAAAAAGATATTAACAAAAGCCTGAATGTGGGGCTGGGAAGATGGCTCAGTGGTAGAGCACTTGCCTTGCATGCCTGAGGCCCTGGGTTCGATTCCTCAGCACCAC